ATTTACATATTTAATATACTTTAGTATAAATTAAACAATATTCTTAATAAAATTTATTAAAAAGTAACGAAAAAAGGTAAATAAATAGTCTATAATACAGTATATAAGCTTAAGCTTCATTTTCAGCAGCAGCAGTAACAGCAGCCTCCGCTTCTCTTTTTTGACCTAATTTCTGCATCCATCCGGAATAAATTATGGTAAATAAAATTAAACAGCTCAACCAACTATAAATAACAATATTTCCAATATAAACAGCTTCATCAGTTATGCCTTTAAGATTACCCATTCCGAGATTTTTACTATTATAATAAATTAAGGGACGCATTTGGAAGGAGCCGATTTTTATCGGAATTAAAGTGACAATAAATACTAAACCAACTACACCAGTGATAAATGATTCTCGTAATAAGTATAGCTTTGGATCATTTTGGAGCACAGATAATATAGTACCAGCAATGAAACCGACTATACTGAGTATTCCTATGGCGTTGACTTGTTTTCGAATGATAAAATTAAGGATAACAGAAACAATAGGTGGGATACCTGATATGATTAGTGCCCAAATAGTGGGTATGTATTTTGAAAGAATAAAATATAGGAGGAGTGGTAAACCGACATCAACAAATAACATAAATAAAGGGAATAATGTCATTCTTTTATTTTTTTGAGCAGAATTAGTTTTGAGTGTTGAAGGCGCTTGTGGTTCTGATGTAATTGAGGGAGCTGAGGGTTCTACTGCCGATGAAGAAACCGAGTCCCTCAATGGTCGAGTTACACGATCCTCGTAACCTGTTCTGTTTGAACCTGGCATTCTATTTTTTATTTTTTCTAAAAGATAAAGAGTATAATTAAGAAATTTTGGGTGGCAAATTCGACACCGGTTTAAATAATCTGAAATGCGAAACAACCGACATTCTATCCGTTTGGCAAGTGCTGGACACCGACCAGTCATACATTGAATACTTACTTTGGAAAACAAAGATGGATGAATGATCCGAATTGCCTATATATATACAAAAAATCTTTTTTTAGAACTAATACGATTCGAGAAAATTTCCAAAGAAAATTTTGTTTCGCCATGGATAACTATTATTAGCAATTAACCGGAAATATATCAGTAGTAAATTGGTACATCTAAAATCAGGAGAACGCACGTATTGTCAGTACGTTTAGTTTCTATTTTTGGCCAAATAGGTACGTATGACATACGTATCAGAGACCCCGGACGTTGTTAGCAAAATTAGCTAGCAAAATTAGCTGGCAAATTTAGCAAAATAGCTTATTATAAATTTATAAGTATAAATTTTAATGTAATCATATTTTTCTTCGGCGAGTTCTTCATCCATCATTTCAGTGAGTTCTTCGGTCATCATCTAAAATATGCATATAATTACTCGTTTACGTAAATCAGTTCAAGAACAAA